AATTCCAGTCCTCTACATGGCAATTTGTGAAATCCTTTCCCTCCTCTTCTTATAAAGCAGATGCTCTTTCTTCCCTTTAATAAATATTTCTATTGCCTGTCTTTGCATGTCCTTCCTCTTATAACAGTTAAAAGTCTTTGTCTTCTTTCAGCTGTTTTCCATTTCTGCTCACACTACACTAAATATAGTTCCCTTGAAAGAACCGTCATTCTTCACCCACACAGGTAACGATGCAAGTCTCCTCGCAGTCAGGCAGCAGGTAGCTACTCCCTCTTGCATTTTTTTTTGCACAATAAAAAGAAAAGAACTACTTATCCTGGAGATATGTTGCACAGATCAGCTGCTGCTTCTGCATTTAAACCTCCTAACCTTTCCCTGCATCTAAATGGCTGGGAATGCACTACTTCACTTCCAAGTAATTTTATATTAATGAGCACACCACTTTGAGGGTACACTTTCAAAACAAAACCCATTCCAAAAGAGTGCATCGAGAGTGTTTTCTTCATTAAAATCAAAACACTTTGAACTGAAGGAGCACACTCCAAGCCACTTTGATGCCAAGGTAGCAAAGCCAGTTTTAATCCATGCATATAAGGGATGTGCAGGAGATTAGCCAGATGTTAAATTACTCCTCTTAAGCAACTCTGTGCTGTACTAATATGCCTGCCTGTGCCTATAATCACATGAGTACTGTTGGGTACATACCAAATAAAATAAAAAAATCACTGATTTGCACATTGGGAATCTGCAGATCCTTAAATTTATACTTAACTGGGCAATACTTGTATGTATATATTATGGCATTCTCAGACTATCTTTTGAAAACTGAAATTCTTCCATATATAACAAAGCATTTGATTGTTCCCAACTAAGCATTTTCTTGAGAAAAGATATGTAGACACGAAAACTAGAAAAAGGTTTTAGAAGAAAGTTTGTGACATGCTGTAGGATTCATCTGACTGAATTTAGGACATCAACATTTTTGATGTTTATATCTGAATTACTCATTCTGGCTTCCTCTATGGCACCTGAAAAGAAACACCTGCACCGAAGGCATGTGATTTACTTTGTCCTGGAGCAGATGTCTAAAAGTGGCCTAAAAGTGTCTATTTCTCTCAATTGACTCTAAAGGGGAGCCAAATGTGAAAAGCTCTTTTTCCCTATCAGAAGAGGAATGCCTACGTTTAGATATCTAATGGTAGAGGCGATAGATCCTGCGGAATGAAAAGTCAGGACATACGTTTTTATGCTGATGCTATAGCTATCTTTCAGAACATCTCCAAAGATCACAATGAATACAAAGTCTAAACAAAAAAAGAAAAAGACCTGACATTTCAGTCTTCACTTTCAATATCTTTGGCTTTTTTGGCTATATGCTTATCTCTATACACACTTTTTAATTATTTGAATAGACACATAGGGCTGAACATCTCTTGGAATGGGCAAAATACAGAGAATAATTGATTTAATGAACTTAAGAAGGTAAAGATGTTGCTCAAAAGCTAAATTTTCCAGAAGTATTGAATTATTTGAATGATAATGCATACATTTCTGCAAACTGGTTCCTTGAAACACAACAAATACTCTACTGTTTCACTAGCAAGATGGAAATTAGATTTAAAAGAAATAATATTATTTTACAATGTGAAAAAACTTAAGGTTTATATTTTCCAAAGTGTCCTCTAATTCTGCTGGTTCAGTTTTATGGCCACAAAGACAAGGATCTACCATAAAATGAGTGGACAAATAAGAACTGTTTTATGTATGTCAATATATTGTATTTTACTGGGTATCCAGTTATGCCTGTGGTATGTTTGTGGCTTGAGGTGTTTGTAGGTTCATAATTACACTTCTGAACTCAGAATCATGGCTGGATCTTGGCTGAAAATGTGTCACACAACACCTTAAGGCATTCTGATAAGATGATAAATTCTCTAACTGCAGTGTAAGCTATTCTCATTATCATGTTCTTAATAATTACTGATCTTATTTTTTTTTAGAAAAGGAAGAATTGTGTTAACACAGGTTACAACTGCCCAAGTATGTTTTACTCACATGGTTGATAATATCTAATTACATGATAAAAATTATATTAGTATGCTAATTCCAGAGAAAGCACCTGGAAACATAAAGTAGAAAACAGCAGAGAAACCAAAGTCCCTGTACTATGCAGAAGACACAAAAGGAGGCCTCCAACACCTCTGATTCTTCAGAGAAATGAAAGGGGGACTGCCCCTATAGAGCAGAAATCCAGTACTTCAGATGGGACAGCAGTATGATCTGACAGAAGAGGGAGGCTTCCTACTGCTCAAGATCTTCTCATAAAGATGGTCTAGTCATGCTCTCTCTGGAAAGATGTGGGCCGAATGATCTTGAATGTCCTGCTACAGGTTTTGCTGCTCCATAGTGTCTGACAAAGCCTTGTCTTTTGAAAAGTTTTGAAATTTTCTAAAATTATATTGTAGTGGATATCAAAAATATTTTGAAAAAAAATCCCTTGCTCTCTCTTTATTTTGTTTATGGCAGCAATAAAAGTTAGTCCAGATGGTCAGGTCTAGCCAATAGCATTTTGAGGCTTTACCTCAACCCTTGCTTCTTACACACTGCATACATAAAGACATGATCACATTCTTTATCTGACTGGATCTGTTTATCTGGATCTGCTTGAGGCTCTGATTTTCCTCTATATACAGTTTTTTTTTCATATTCCCATCTACAATTCCTAGCAGCACATTCTTACCAAAAGATCACATAAAGCTATATAATCAACAAGTGTTGACAACTACAAAGGCAGACATAAAAGCCAAAACAGTTCCTTTCATTTCTGATGTTTTTTCCCAATATATGGAATTATGCTGGATTTGGTTAGGTTTAGCAACAGAACTGCTTACAGCTTTCTGGACCAAAATACAGCTTTCTATATCTAATATGTTTACCAAGTTAGAAGAGGCTAAATATTTACTACCATATTTTATTACATTTTACTACATTTTCTACTACATACTTAGTGGTCTCTTCTGAGCATAAAAATGATGTGCAGAAAGATGATTCAGATTTGGTGTCTACACCGCATCTTAGAGGTAAGCTTAAAATATGATACAAACACAGTTTAAGAAGTTAACTCTAAAGGAGCAGCACATTATACTCATAGATTTTCAGGCACATTTTCCAAAGTGGCCTCAGGAATTGGAATTCTGTGTAAGGTGAAATAATTATTGTTCTAATTTTTACAACTTAAGGTCTCCTTTTTTAAGTCTCCTAGATGGCCTTTGTGACCAATGGAAAGAAAGAGGCATCATCAGAGACTAATTTAGACCTCAGGTGGAGTGGATGGTATGGTGGCAGGTGTGTCTATCTTCTGAAGGAATTACGAACCTTCCCTATATATCTCACCCGTATGTTGAATCTTAACTGGACTGGATTTAAGTCTCTATATTTGACAAAAAGTATCTGAAAGACAGGTAGGAGAGGATACTACTAGAAGGTGACCTTAGCTATTCTGCTTCCAGAGTTGCTTTAAATTGCAGAACTCCTGTGCATCACTTAAGATATCTTAACTAATATATCTGAGCTGAGGGCAGTAACTTCTTCAATGATGCAAACTTGCTTTGAAAGATCCTGTCTGTCTGAGCACTGAGTGGGCAAGCACTTACACTACCTCTCAGAAATAATTTTGAAAGTTTGTCCCAAGATTACACATATTCACTTTAGCAACAAACAAAAAGTAGATATTATTTGATTACTTGCAAAGTCCCAAACTTCATTTTTCTATTCATTTTTTTTTGTTAAATTATTTCTTGTAAAAACTTATGATAGTACACCACAATATAAACAGCATGGAAAATATTTCACTTTCAAAGATTGTAAAGGCATCTCTTGAAAAGAAACTAGGTTCTGATCTTCTGCCCAAACTCCCTGGTCGATCCACGCATAAAACTTCAACTCCATTTAAAAAGAAATATCCATAAGTATCCCCTATTTATGAAGTATCAGCTACAGTTCTGTCTAATAATTGAAAAATCAGGTAAAGTCTGTTTCCCTTCACAGATGAGTCCAAACATTGTAGAGTAATAGCTAATGGCTTCAAGTTTGCACACACAGTAGAATTTTTTTCCATCTGTAACTTCTTTCAGAGAACGATTAAGTACCATATTTTTCTCATTTGTCTTTTTATTTCCTACCAAGTGTTGTGTTTCATAACATTTGAAATGCTGGTGAAATGTATTTCCAATTCTTAAGGAGGCCCAAGTATGAAATTAACTCCACCTCACTGGTGGTTTTGATAAGTATAAGTTTAATAGGAATGGCAGTATTTGACACTTAGGTCTTAAGAAATGACATAATTGGTTTTCACTTCTATAATGTTTAAATCCCACAGACAGATTGTAGTAATAAACTGAATCCCTTTCAAAGGCTTTTCAGTTCACTTTTGCAATCTGACTGGGATCTAGGATACTCCACATGAAGTTCACCTGTACCTATTGCACACATCAGCTGTACCAATGCCTGCACACACATGCAAACAAATGGTGAACTATTGGATGGAAGAATCCAAGATTTACACTGGTAAGAACAGAATCAGACCTATCATATCTGACACAGATATGACTGTCAGCAATAAAATGGCAAATATTTTCAACTGCATGTGCTTGCAGGTAAAGTCAATAGTTATCACTTGTATCTTGTTTTTCTTCTCATAGTAACACAGTATTTTCCAGTGGACTTTATCTGGCAGGTCATGAAATCCTTTGCAGTTGCGAGGAATGTTAAATCTCCGGAACTCTACAGTTTCATACAGAATGGCTCTGAAAGTTTAATCTTCTTTTCTAGGTATAAACACTTCTGATAATGAGAAAAATATGAACAGCCATGTATGATCCCCAAAAATAATTTATATTGAATTCAAACATTAGCTTCACCCCTTAGACACAAGACACAATTTATTGTCTTATCATATAATTAGAACAACAGAGCATGCAATTTGTTTATGCACCACTGACCTCTAAAGAGCTCATTGATATTGTGGATCCAGTTTCACTTCTTGATAATCCTGCATTGTCATCCAGCTCCGAGGCAATGAAATTCTTCACTGCTGTGCGGGGCTCAAATGGTAAATTCTGCATATGTTCTTGGCTGGGAAGATGCTGGTCTAAATTGATATTAAATTGGTCCATTACGGAAGGATTCATATTGAACTCTGGATTGACTTTGTAGTGCAACAGCCTTTCATGAGGCAATGTATCCATGCCTATATTCATTTTGCTCTCATCTTTCAGTGATGGCTGGGTATTTACTGAGCCCCGCGGCATGACTATATAGTCGCTTTCTATCATCCGTTCCTGAGGATGGACTATGTCCATATCTGCACCTCTCAGGTTATCATCAGTGCATAAATACACAGTCCTCCGCAACTCACTGTTGTCTTTTTTCAAGCACTGATTGGCCAGTTCACTCATACTCATAGGCATGTGGAGACCTGTTGGTTGCTGAATGATGACTTTGGAGATGATATTTCCAGGCAAGGTAGAATAGCTCATTCCTTCAGGGTTTGGTCCCTTCTCCTCCTCTTCGTCGTTTAGTGAAATTCTAGAAAGTGTTCCTGTTATAGTAGCTGCTCTGCAAGGTCCAAGGTCTTTATGAAGAACTGTGAGTCAGAAAACAGAATTCTTACAACATGAAACCATGTCTGTCTAATACTACTTTTTCTTGCGGCTTTATTTAGCAGCGCTCCCTTTACCAGAGCATCTTCTTAAATCTTTTTCTATCCATTTAATAACTTTTATAGTATAAATATTGTTTTGGGAAGTTTTTTTGTTTTTTTTTTGTTTGTTTGGTTTGGTTTGGGTTTTTTTAAATCAACATCTCTTAAGCTACTGTGTATAACTGACACAGATCTCTGACTAAGCCTTAGTCATTTATATAAATTAAAAACACTCCTTCATTTATTCTTACTGCCTTACATAAATCTTAGATGACCTACAGCTTAAGCAAAAGCCTGCCATGTAGAACTCGATTAAGGGTTTTCCAAAAAAATACACTATGATATCTGTACTGCCGTTATTAACTCCACATAACCTCCTGGAAAATTTCAAACAGATTGTAAGGCAGAATCATTTTGTCAATCCATTGTAATGACCTACCATAAAATTAAGAGTATGAACATGTGTTCCTGAGCTCCTAAATCTTTTCACTTTTCAGTGACTTAAAAACTCTTCTACGTTAAATTATTCTTTAAATAAAAGTGACAATAAAAATAACCACATTGGGAAGAAATTCCACTGGTAGCAGAAAAACATATTTTGCTGCATCTGAAAAGGTTATAAAGAATATAAACGTCTTATAAAACAGTTATAATCCACTTTTGGTGTAGGCCTAGACTTTCCTTGCAAAATTTGTAGCAACATCCAGCAATTTTTTGTTGAGGTAAGCTCCACATGAAAAAGTTATTAACGTTGTCATAGAATAGAATATTTCCAGGAGCACTGAAAGATGCATTCAAAAACAAAGCATCTATTCAATCATAAATATTGATCTTAAAAAATAAATAGATGTCTATAATTCAACATTTGTAATGAAAGGAAAAGGTTCGATACTAAGAAAAAAAAAAAAGAAGTAACCAATTACTGGGCTTATTCCAGCTGGGTGCAAGGTTTTTTTTGTCCCAGTTGAAAATATTTTAATTCACACCAGTGCTAGTTTGTGCAATAAAATCCAGCTGAGATAGTAAGATAAGTTGAAGTATCTCAGGTGTCATATTTACATCCCTTTTGGTAGCCTGAGGGCTCCGATGACCCAGATCCTCCAGTACCTGTCAGTTCACTGCCATGTTCCATAGCAAAAGGCATCCCACTCTCCTACCTCACAGAAAACTGTCTCTCATTTTTCCACTATGAAAAGAACAATTTGCCTCTAAACAACAGTGCACAAATACCCAAGTTCAGTGTGGCTGCTTCAATGTTTCCAGTCACACTTGTTAAGACACTTCAACCAGTGACTTATCCTTAAAACTTTCATTAAAAGAAACTGAGTTGAAATGTTTATCTAGTAAAGCCTGTTTATAACTGTGTCCAAAGTGCATCTCCTTAAGGATGCCCCTGACAAGGCTCTCCGTACTGCAGAGCTATATTGGCAAAGGTAAGAAGTAGGTGCTGCATGGATCAATGCTGGACTTGTGTCTGCATTGCATGTTGCCAGACATGCATTTATGTTACAATGTGCTATCCTGCTCCCTTCAAAATACATGTGCATATTAAAACTAATCAGTATGGAAGAACTATTATCATATTGCAAGAAACTGAACTGGCAGTGTTTTATAGGTGGACGACTGGAAACTCAGACTCTACCTTAATGAGATCAGTCTTCTTGGCTCCCCATATAATCACTGAAGAGAGACAGTGTCCTTCAGATGGATGATGCAGAATAGCTAAGTCAGGCTTCTGGCCTGACTCACCCTGCGGAGAGGACATCCTCTCTCTCTTTCTTTCTGTCTTCATTGAAAACTGAGGGTATCTAGGCAGGATTGCCTCCCTAGGAAAAACTGTCCTTTGGGAATAACTTCTAGATGTAAAAATCTCTATAGGGTTTAAATGGTCATTTATTTTACACTGTACTTCATTTAAGAAAGGCTGGCAAATAAATAGCTAAAAATGTGTTATTTTTAATATGTGGAAACAGACATAGCTGACAAATTAAAGATCATGCTACTGAACTGTCTTAGAAAAAACCCAATTTGTTCCAGTAAAGTGGAATAAAATTTCATTTTCCTGATATCATGTTGGTTAAGTTACTGTTGATTTCACTTAGAGTCCTAAGAAATGTACCCGCTTTAAAAGTAACGCCAATTGATGCATACTTCATATACATAGCTGTTAAGATACATTTATTATATTTTTTTTATTAGCAAAATGGCTATTTCACGTTTGCTTGTGTACGAGGGCAAGGAAAGTTTTGTGTGCTAAGACTGATCTTTCCAAACCCATTTGCCTTCTAATAGACAAACACACCTTTGGCTGATTCCCAACTGCTGAATTCTAGCAAAAGGCTTTTGTAAGAAAATGAAATAAACATATTTGTACAGTGTCATCACTTTTTTGGTTTACATTTATAAATACGAGCTGTAAACATTTAAACCCTGATATTTCTCTACTTTTCCCAGGAACTAGTACATGACTTCTTTTTGTTGACTAAATAACCTCTCAATGTTCTTACCTGACCGACAAGCAATGTCCACGTCCTTTTCAAAATCAGTCTGTAAAAAGAAACAATGAAACAGGACAACCATTATTAATTGAAAACTAAACCACAATACCTTTTTGCCAACTAGCGCTTCCAAAATGTCCTACTTACAGAGTCATAGTCTCTTAAAAGTGGTTTCTTGTTGCTGAGAAGGTGAAGTGTATTGTTTTACAACAGCAGAGCTTTACAAAGTTTCCTAAAGTATAACTGGGTGGTTTTCAAAGTATGCTGCCTGACCAGAAAAAATAAAATAAAATAGGTGGGAGTATATAATTTTAATAAAACGATACAGTGTATAGTTTTTTATGTATATGGAAGACTAACTTCTACATCTCATCGAAGGATCATCTTTAAGGAAGCTTTTCATAGTAATTTAATAAACAGAAGTATGGAAAATACCCTGCAATACAAATTACTGTGAAGAAGTGTAATTCAGTCAGTCCACCCTGTCTGAACGTCACTAATTTGTTATGAAGTGGTTATTTGTTATGTAACATTCTATCCATCCTTGCACTAATGTAATCACGTAAACTTTGTACTTCCAGAATATAACTATTATTTATTTCATTGGGCAAAAAATGAACTTTAAGACCTAAGAATGAATTTTAACAGTTGAAAATCTAAGCACACTTTTCCCAGTTAAACAAAATTATTTATCCTATTAGAGAATTCAAGTAATTTTTAATTGTTTTTATTTCCACAAAAAGTTTATTATATGAAAAATGTTTAATAAAACTGATCTCTTTCTTGCTTGCGAAGTCCAAACATTGGATTCTTTTTGAGTCATCAATTTTGAAGGGCATCTGCTTACTGAGCCTGTCATTTTTTCAAGGCCTGATCCCATCTCCATTATATCAATGACAAACTGTTGTTGAAAGTAAAGAGACCAATATTTTGTCTTAATATACTACCTAACAATATTAGGAAATTCACATTGGCATACCGAGCCATTCACTATCTCCTAATTCAAGACAAGAAATAGATTCCCACTCTAGAATCTCTAGCACTTTCTCCTTGTCTGACTCAGTTTTAGAGGAACATTTTTCAAGGTTTATGAACGGAAGACTCTCAATTGCATCAGTGCTCTTTACACCAACAGTAGAAAAAGTCATGATAAATTATTAGATTGCTTTCTCATTCTCTTATGTAAGAATCTTTTGTCATAAAGAACACTGGTGGAAGATATTAATTCACTGTGCTCCACTAAATGATCACACCAATAATTTAAAACTTGCAAAGAGATTTAAGCAAGCAGATAATGACCTAAACAGATTTACACTTGAAAATGGTGTTAATATTTCAGCTGTGCATACTTGCCACATAAAATACGGTAAGTTTTTTCTTTTGGATAGGAACACTAAATTACTAGCCAAAGGAGGAAATAAAAGCTAACCATGATTTGAGCATGTCCGTTAGGAAAAGAACTTGAAGAATCTGCATTGATCGGATCCTGGCAATTTCTCAGTCGACATCTGAATGCATCTTGAACCTGTGAAAACAATATCTTATACTGATTCTTGTGCAACATCACATACTCTACTCCTATTAAAAATTAAATCAAACTGTATGGAATATAATGCATGACTTTTCTTTAGTGTACTTAATAAAACAGAAGCAGTAAACAGAAACGCTTATTTCTGCCATGTCATACATATGCTATATTTTGTGCCTGTTGCAAATTCTGTCAGCCTATCACATCAAGACCACAGACTTAGATTTGCCTATGGACAGAATTAACTGGTAGTCAGTGATGATCTCGTACTCAAGTCAAATCTGTCTCGGGTGATAGTATTTCGCTTTGTCTTCTCATTCAGTTTGGTACAGGTCTGATAGCAGGATTAAAAGCTGTACTATCAACCACTGACAAAATAAAATTATCTTCTGCTTGATAAATGTAAGATTCTTGAAAGACAATTCTTAACAGTTACTATAATCGGACATATAGTGCTCTCCTAATCATACTTTAAAGAATAAATCCATTTGAAAGATGTTAGTTTCCAATCATAATTTTTAACTCCATGTATAGGGAATATCATGGATTTCTTCTAGGAGTAAAGCTCTTCAGATCAGGTAAATATATTCAATGTGAGTACAAGAAGAAGAAGAAAAGTGGACTGTTTGCACAGAGTCTTACTTCTTGAAACTAAAAAAAAAATAATCATTTGATGTCTTATTCAGAATAATTAAAAGGGAGAAAATTGTATTCCACTCATGGACATTTTATGAACAGCAAAAGAGGACAATTCATTAATTGTTGCTGATGAAAAGCCATCCCATTTCAATACATGGTATTCTACTGCAAGCTGTTTAAGAGCTTTCACAAAAGGGAAAATGAAATGGAAAAAAATATTTATTTTTGCAATTAGAAAGCATTATTTTAAAGTGCTCAACCCTTAAATGAGTAAGAGGGCTCTGCAGTCTTGATAAGTGACTGTTGCAGGTGGAGGAAGACTAATACAGAGCAGAAAGAAGAAAGAAGCAAGGTGGGAAGGTTTGGATTGATTTCAAAACACTGAGACTTCCCACATGTGATAATGTAAAGTGTGCTTGAACTGTACTGTGAGTCAGATTCTGATTTTAGGCATTACATTTGCTGTGGTTTTCCATGTGTTTGACGTTAATTTAATTTGGCATCTCCCAGTTGTTGTAAATTTAATCCAAATCTTCTCTCACTTTATTAATGCTGAAGTCAGGTCACACTTCAGATTTTATGCTCTTGGATAAGCACTGGCACAGTGATTTGACAAAAAAAAATAAAAATCCCTCCCACCAAAGTAACCCCAGCTGTGCTGAATCTCCTCTGAAGCCTCATGATGCTTGACCCCAAAGCATTATTACTTCAGAACGTACTATGTGATCTCACTCGGTGTAGTGGGCCTCCTTATTTTTGGGAGTCTGTGTTCATGGAGCTTCCCTGATTCAGGTAGCTCCAGAGATCTCAAGAATCTCATGTCCTACTTTCACTATCTTCTATATTAAAGCATGATGTTAGGATCCTCTGAAATGTGCATGTTTCTTACAATGTTTCTGAAGTGCAAGCATCTGAACACGTTAACAGAATGTGAAATGTAGCTTTATCCATCATATCGACATATGGATATGCAATTTCTATGTGTCCTCACACAAGTCACTAACAAAAAGGCTGAACTAAATACCGGCTTATTTTTCTAAACTGCTTATTCAAACTTGTTGTTTGAGTATGCAAAGACTGTGCTGTCTTTACATTTTACTTTGAAACATAATCTTGTTTTTTCCCCCTGCCTTTTAACACCAAGTTACAAGATTTTCTTAGAGCCAGGCAGAGCAGGATAGACAGATGTGGTGAACGTGCGGATACCAGGGAAGTGGTTTCCTTAGCAACAGTAACCAACTCCAAGCTCTTCTAACTTACCCGCTCCCTACTCATGTACTCTTTATTTTTCTCTTGCAATATGAAATGTGGGCTTTAGACGCCAACGATGCATTTAATCCAAATGCTCTGTAGTCAGCAGAGCACAGCAAAAGAAGAAAATACATGTGGGTTCCTCCCATCACCAGCATTAACAGGAGTTACTCAGTGTGATTCAAATTCGCTTTAGAGCATCTTGTGTTCAAGCAGGTCAGGCAAATCGTTTTGCTCTGATGGAGAAGCTTCAGCACTAACCTCTCCTATCATTCTTTGTTTTGTGACACATACCTCACTGTCTTCCAATGCCCAATTAGGTATTTAAACAGCAAGAAGAGGAAAAAAACCCACTAGGCTCTCTTGGGCTAAGAAGGTAACACAAAGCGATAATACCTAACTCTTACTGTGCGCTTTTCTTTTTGAATTTCCAAATGGTTTATCAGAGGTCTCATGCTTAAGAAGTATTATACTTATCTTAGAAGATAGGAAACGGAAGTATAGAAAGATTTAATGTCTTTCCAAAAGACCCTCAACTGATGGAGGGCAGAAATAGACACAACACATCGCTTAGTTCTCTTCTAGTTGTATGTCTTACTCAGTGAATGTCTCTGGCTTCCTAGTGCAGCCCTTATCCTAAGATCTTCGATATAGCATACTAGAGAAAGTAAAAAATGTTTCCATCATTTATATTAATAAAACTAAGAGGAAAAAATGGGGGTTTCAGATATATAATTGTAAAAGTCTCTGTCTTTTTGTAATGTAACAATAATAAAGGCATAGTAAAGCAGGGCTGTCCTCTTCTTTGTTTGAATTTTATGGTGATATATTCCACCCCATATTTTTTTTCCTGACAGTCAGAATTATTGTTTTGCCTGTGCTGGCATACTATAAATATTAGATCAATCCTATAGGCTATAACTGAGATAGCTTTGTAGCTGTCAGCAAGAGTGACAAATACGTTGGCAGGGTTTCCCTGACAGGCCCTGGCAGAGCAAAATGCTTTTGTAGACAACAGAAAGTAACAGACTTTTCTTTCATCTGGGAGGTACCCTGTGCAGTGCAAAGACTGCATTGCACACTGTGCATGATGGCCACTATCTTGGCTTGTACTCACCTAAGGGTGTCTGGAACTAGAAAGCCAGACTCTCTAGAGCCAGACTGAAACATAACTTACTGGAGCTATATCTCCTTCTGTGTAGGAACATGTTGGTAAACAATTACATCTTTGCTGCTGCAAACTGGTCCATATAAGAGTAGACCATATACATTTTTGAAACAAAAATTTTTTCAAGTGCATCGACTTTTACTTCTTTGCTGTTCTTGAAGATCTTTCTATTAATTTTCTTTTCCCATATGAAAAAAAAATTACATTAATTAGTTCCTTAAGTGTTTTGCCCAGTTTACAACTTAAATCTGGAGGACTAAAGAAGATCCAATGTTTTCTGCCAAATAGAGTTCAACAGCAACTTGCCTAGGCTTCTGTCTTCCACCACCGCCACTATCACTATCTTGACTGGAGATAATCTACTGATTAGTGAATAAGTTGTCTCTGTACATTTAGTCCCGTCTAAGTTATCATGACTGAAGGAAAAACTCCTTCCCCTTTTTGATAAGGGATGACCTTATCATGACGACTTCATTCCATTTCCTTGTGTCCTTTGTGAGGATGCAGAGAAAACGCAACACATACCTGGTTATCAGTCATTGTCAAAAAACAGACCAAAATCCATGAGAAATTCTAAAAGTAACATAGCATAGCACTGTATAAAATAAAATAAAAAAATAAATAAATCTGGCATTAAAGCCTGCCTCAGTGCAGTAATACAAGAGTTCATTTTGTTGTTTTGAAAAAATGTTTTGACTGCTTAAGATGAAATTGAACAGGCATCTTCCCATAATGCCCTAAGCCTTGAATTCAAGACAAGTTCGCTACTCCAATGACATCATGGAATGAAGCTGCATCAGGGGAATTTCAGACTGGAAATTAAGAAAGGGCTTTTCACTGGGAGGGTGGTTGGTCACTGGTGAAGGCTCCCCAGGGCAGTGGTCATGGCATCAAGCCTGCCAGAATTCAAGGAGTGTCTGGATGATGCTCTTAGTCATATGATTTAGGTTTAGGTAGTCCTGCGAGGATCAGGGAGTTAGACTCAATGATCCTTGTGGGTCCCTTCCAACTATAGATTACGATTCCATGATTCTATTAAAGATAATGCTGTTTATACTGCTTTGATTCTGAAGGTTTCATCTACAACCTTGAGCTAAAGATGTATATTTTGAAGCATAAATTATGTCCCAGGACAGTAAGTGGGAGGTGGTATGCTCTTTCCAGGCTAATTAATATATCCCAAAGGAAATATAAATTTCATAGAAAGGAAAACCAGTATGGAACTGCCATTCTTCCTAACAAAGAGTTTAAGCAAAAATAGTTGCAGTGTCTTACCATTTTACTAAAAGAATATATGAAATTATGGCTTTCAGTTCTATAGATGAGAATACTCTTTTTCATGGATGCAAATCATATGGTGAAAGAAAATGCCGTAGAAAATAAGGGGATAGCAAGACAGCTGTACATAAAACAGATTTGTCTTGAGTATTAGCTCTTATTTTGGACACATTTTATCCCCAAAAAAGGGAAAAAAAAAAGAAAAAAAAGTTACTAAAGGAGGTAAGCCCCTTCCACTACGAAAGCTGATCAACTAAGAAAAACAAAAGTTCATAGCCTCTAACAGCTTGAATAAAGTGGGATGGAGTCAGAACAATGGAAGTTGCTATTTTCTGCAAGTTATTGATAAACTTTTTCCTTAAAAATTGGTAACTTAATTATTTGATAAGATAATCACGTATGCATCAAATCTATCTACCTCGATAAAAATATAGGGTTAGATAGGTTAGAGAAACTGCCAACAGAGCCAGGTTAAAGAGCACTTGTGTGATATCTTTGACATCAGATTTCAGTGGTGATGAATTCTGCACTGGGTGACACTGAGTTGTGAAGGGCAGGCCAGGAGTACTAGCTTTTCTTTGCTATTCTCAAAGCATTCATCTGTCTTCATCCTCACTGCTCCCATAACTTCAGTGTGTTACCTGAAGTATATATCTGAGTTTGTAGAACTGAAAGTGTAGACCTTCACCAACATAACACCTCATCTTCTTGTGTCCTCTTTCAGGGACAGTATAAGCAGAAAATAAGGGGATAGCAAGACAGCTCTACATAAAACCATCATTTTGTGTTTGAATTAGTTTTAGAGACTGTAAAAATCTTTAGCTTTTGATCTTCAGGAAAAGGGCATTCTAGTAAGTATTTCCCTGTACTCATAATACTAGGAAAGTCTAACACTTAAAAATAAACTGAACTTGGGATTGATTAAAAGCCAGCTTTAATTAAATGAGTACAGTTTTATACTGAAACTGACGTTCTGCACCTAGAGTTAACTGATCTTCCCCCTCTTTCACTTGCTCCTCTACATCTCATCATAAAAGACTTATTTCTATGAAATATATTTCCGCAGAGCAAGCTGTATATAACATTAAAGAACAGTTGAGAGATTAACAGGAGCACAGCCCTTCAGAAAACTGGGAAGTCATTCCTCACCTCCCTTCGGAGAATACAATGGACCATGACAATTACAAAGCCTTGTAATGAATCAAATACTGCAAAAAGTATCTGAAATAATATTGATCTTTTGTCTGTCATGGCCAGAACTGCAGACATCCAAGTCAGGGCCAGAAGTGGCAACACCACACAGGAACTCCAAAGGGATGCCCTATTAAAAGAAAGAGAAAAGCAGCACTGTAATATTGTAAAAAAAAAAAAAAAAGAAAAAGATTAAAATAAAACTATTAAAATAAAATACATTTAAGGATCACGTTTTATCAAGTTAACTTGAAAATCACAGACAAGACTGTAACAGTGTCGGTACTTTATGTTCTACAGAATATCCTGTATTCAGTTAATAAACACAGTTGCAAATTTCTTTTTTTTAAAAAAGAGTATTTAAATGTGCTCAGCACTCTATACAGTGTTAGCAAACACAGTTGTCATCATCAAACTATTGTCTCACATGCACTGTATAAGATTTGTAACAAGAAGATGTAAATGATCAGGACTAACATGGCATTACTGGCGGTGGTGGCTGACAAAGCTGTTGTTGAAACTACTCCACACTTGGCACATTTGAGCGTCAAACCGCTATGAGGCTCACTCATCTGACTGCAAACAAACAGAACACCCACAAAAAGAACAAAATATTGAATTGTCACCAAAAAACGTTGCTACTGAGATTTAGCTTTTAAATATGATGTCATGCAGAAAAGGTAAGTAGACTTATTCAGGATGAATGCTCTATGTTGTTGCAAAACTGTACTTTGTACTTTACACTATTATTAGCTTTAAATGTTAATGCTATGGGGCTTCATTTCATGCAGACTCTATTTCTTCCATTTAAGCTAAAAAGGCCCCAGATATCGAGTGATCAAAACTGCTCAGTATGCTGAGGAAACACAAGCACGTGCTAGGATAGACACACAAAGTGAAATCCCTCTATTCAGACCTGTTAAAAGACTGTTGTATCCAAACTTGCTTGAGAAAGAGTAGAGGACACTTAAAGGAGGAGTATGAAGTATGTACAATTACAGAGCATTAATAGGGAAAGAAACCTGCAAAATGTATTGAAGCATCAAATCGGTGTGGGTGCACTCTGTAGTCAGATTTGTACCACTGATCTGAATGGTTCGCTAACACCTGGAGTGATTTTATTCATGCCATATGAAGGTCTGAATACAGGGCTTGAAACGTATGGAATCTGATGAAATAAATATCAATTGGTACTAAAAAACGGGTGACCTGTTTTGCATTTTAATAAAACACAGTACACAAGCATTAAGCTCAAAGCATTTTGTATGGACAATTGTACCTCGGCACCTGTCAGAAGAGTTAAAGGGCAATACCTGGAATTTAAATTTCGTTTTACATACAGCATGCATTCAACCTCCTAAGTTGACTAAATAAAGACTTGCTATTCCGTCTCTTTCTGCTATCAGAACCAGAAACAAACAGAGCTGACTGAGATGAAATGGGAAGGGTGCTTTACCTATTCCCAGCTGGAAAGTGGTCAACATAGTGAAGATAGGTAACACTGCAATTTTTTCCCAGCTGTTTCAACCAACGGAACTCCTTTTTATTACCAAACCCAGCATTCACAAGACTTTTAACACACTGTTCAAAACAACATTAAAATCCAGTGGTTTCCGTTTTGGTAAACCAAATGATGACTTTCCATAAAAAAGGTGCAGTATATTTTCCATTAAAATGCAGGTTTTTTTCCAGGAAAAAACACTAAGAACAATAACCTTGTATAAGGTGATTGTGGGATGTGAAAAGAACTCAGTGAATCCACATCAGTTTACACCAATTAAAGATCTATGTTAATGAATGAACTAGAATAATGCCTTGGGTAAGCTTAACCTAAGCTTGGGAAAATACTTTCTGTCTTTTTTTGGCAATACTTCAATGTTATCAGACTGAATTATTCTCTTTACCTCTATAGATTTGTTCTGGATCTTGCAAATAATAGAACTTGATGTGTATATAGACCAAATACAATCTTTCTGGCTGAGTGTGTATATGTGCACTAACCCTTATGCCAGGAAAATAACTGATATCTGTCAAGACACTTGTTGATTCTTCATATGCTTAAGGTGGAAAAAAATATATGGAGGTAGTGTATTTTGCTCCATTCACTGCTTTAAATCCTACATAAATTATTTCTACAGTTGAACTTTTGGCTGAACTTTTGACAGGTGTAAGTCCAATGTTTGCCAGAAAGAATGAAGTTGCCTTCCTGAGCATGGCTGGCAAGAAATATTTGAGAAAAGAGTGACAATCTCCTTTCTACTGGAGGTCAAATGCTGCACCAATTTCTATGTCCCAAAGAATGACTCAAGATTCTTCATCTGCCAAGTAGTATCAAGGAATGCTGTTGCCAAGCCACCATCTCATACTACCACAAAAGTTAAGACTGTTTCTCTGTTAGGGCATCTACATGCTTTCTCAGAATAGCTGGATTGTTTCTGACAGAATAATTTAGAGGGTTTTATCCATTTACTTTAAAATAAAATACCTCTTTACTAAGTTGCGCACTGTTAGAAAGCAAGTTATTTGTCTGAACAGGAAAGTATACTATAAGCAAATAGATTTCTATACCTGACAATTGAATAGCTGAAAAAAAATAATGATGCAGTTAAATCTAAGCTTGAACATCCTTAGAAAATGTACAAAGACAAACTCGTTTCGGCTCCAACTCCTTAAGTCACTGGAATTAGAGCACATGTGAATTTGAATTAGTGATTACTGAGTTATTACTACTCTTGAAATAATGTGAGTAGTTTTATAATATTCTAGATCATCAGTGTTATTACACAGTTAAGAATGTTGGTGGAGCAATGCAGACAAAAGTAAGGTTAAGAAATTAATACTTTCTAATGAAAAAGAGTAAAAGAGCAGAAAGAAAATGGAAGTTTTTGGTTTATATTTATCAGAATAAAGGTGAAAGAGCTGAAAACCAGAAAGAGTTAATTGAATTAATATTAAATGCAAATCACACCAGCTGAAATATTTATCATAAATTTGCTCATCTAACCAGTGAATTGAACTTATTAGGAATGCTACTTTTAGTGCAAAGGTAAAATAATTCAAAGTGAAGCTGTAATAAATATACTTATAGCAGTAATACACAGTAAAATAAAGATATCATTGCTAGAAATGCAGATATTGGTGGTGTTAACTACAAGCTGGCCCAAAAGACAATAGAACATATAGCTGTAAAAAATGATTATGCAAAGTTTACATATACTTTCATAAGCATTAAGAAGATGATGATGCACTTGTGAAATATTTTTATCCAATACAGAATGAATGTAGGTTTGCTGCTGCAGTACTTCAAATCACTGTCATCCCCTGAAAAACAGTTTCTGATACCACCACTGTCATAATCCTTTCTTCTCATGATAACAAACAGAATTTGCATGTAAATGTAAGTAAATAATCAATAACACAGAATTTCCATTTACCTTTTTTCTTTTTTTTGCTTTTAAAACATGGGGTTTTTTACTTTGAAATTGTTACATTAATTTAGAACATACATCTATGTAGATATGGATGTAAAAACAAAGGCAAATTCTTCACATAGTCAGAATGGCAGAATAACATTAACCTCTGTAAGGCATATATTGCTATAAAATATATTTTATAACAGTTTACGCAAACGAGTAACATTTCCCACAATAGTAATTAAAGTTGACAGCTGACAATAATAATCAGTTCCTTCTGCACACACAGTTTATAAAAATGTTTTCCTAAATGCAACAACTTTACATGTGTGACATTCTTGTGACACCTCTGCTTGGATTTGTTTAATCCTCATTGTTATTAACTTAATACTGTTGTACTTGTGTTTTATTATGTTTAGTTTGTTTAGTTGCATTTCCTCAGGATAATGCAACAGCAGCTTTTTAGATGAATGGAATCTGTTAGACACACTGTTACACTGATATAAAAGTTCAAAGCACAATCAAAAGCATTTTTGGTGAACATCTGTAACTGAAAATTGGCGATACAGTTTTAATGTACTTTAAAATAACCCAATTGTTGCTTACCCCGCTCTGTGTTTGAGCTTTTTATCTAGGATTCCATCTCTGGAAACAAGTTTATTAAATACCAAAATGCCAATCACCATGTTGACCTGTCAAACAGAAAACAAACAGTTGTTCTTTCAGTGCCTGAAAGGAAATACTTCATCCTGTTACTTCAGAAAAAGGCTCCTGCAGGCCTGCCAAATGCCTCCTGTTACATTTCCGAGTATTCCATCAGAAATTGTGTAACGCTGTCCCTGAGCATACCAAAAGTGTGTATTCTCAAATGGGTAACACATACACACACTGCAACAGGCTCGTTTTTGAATTACACCTGGCATCAAGTTATAGAGGTACATGTCTGCTGGCCAGAAGCTTGAGTAAAATAACTGTAATATTTCCTCAGTTTTAATTGCAATGATATATCTTGTTCCAGGAAAACCACTGCACTTGAGTTGTGTGCGCAGGGAAGAGCTACTCGGAGCACACGCTGACCGTAGCCATGCTCCTTTTCAAGCATTTACAGCACAGGTGGGTGTTCCCACTTGTGCAGAACCAGTCTGTGGTTTTCCACATCCTCCTGCACATTAGTCATTGTCCATGTCATTCACCATAATGCCAGTCTTGAGCCTTGTTTGACTGCAGTTCCCTTCTTTTTGTGGGCCAGAAGAATGCCTGGGGTAAGTCTATTTAGCTCCATTAAAGTAAATGGTGTTATGATCACATACATGGGTTGAAGGCCTAACCTAAAAAAAAATTCAAGTGTTTCAGCAGTCAGACTTTGGCACTCACTGGATATACTAATGGCATTTAATGGACAACTTAATGACTGTTATTATCCATTTGTATTATTGAATTGAACTCTATGAACCTGTCTCTGTATGGCCTGCAAAGAGGTAATACCAAGTTTTGAATCTATTAAATAAATGTTCCTTATTTTTTTATTAGAAAAGAGTAATCCCTTTTTTTCTTTCAAACACATTTTTCAAGACCTGTGCCAAAATACCTAATTGTTGCCAATCTGTACTGCCAACTCTTTTCCAGCTTTCCTTATTATCGCTTTATTTTCACTACTTAAATTTTTCAGCTGACGTTATATAATTCTTTTGCTTTGTACACTTAGGCTTAAGTAGCTGCATGGAACAGCTCCTTCCACAGCTACTAGCTAATGGTAGGGCAAATTCTGATTGTGAACTTCAAAAATCTCTGAACAAAGCTTGCCAATTACACAGAGAACATACAGTTCCATGTGAAAATTATGACTGGCTTTTCGTAAACAACCTTGGCTCCTCTATCATGACAGGGACTGTGAGTTGTACAAAAGGATCCTGGCTTGACTCCAGGCAATGATGAGACAAACTCTATGGGAGTAGTAAATATCCATTTCAGGAAAATCTATGTGGCTAAATGGCTGTATCTTTGATGACTACTAAGACTGATTCCCTTTTGCAAGGGAAAATCAGAAACAACCAGTGTTGCCAGCGCTATCCTAGTATAAAAATGGTTGAGTGAAAGGAAGAATTAGATCCAAAATCTGTAAGGGAAAAATGCTAGACAAATTATTGTAAAAAATCCATACAGACTGCAGAGAAGATGACTGATAGCTGATGGCACATGTAGGGTGCCATTCATCTTACTATAAAGTAGACACCTGAAATACCACTGATGGTTTGAGCCCTAAAAGTGCATCTTTTTCTCCACTCGCAATGAAATATGGCTGGGATAACTAGCTTAGGTGCAGAAATCTACATTGCAGATGTCTACAATTAGGCAAAGTGAATCCTACACCTAAATGCATTTCCAGAGATGTGGAAGATTAATACACAAATGAATAACATTTCCCAGCTATAATGATTTTTTTCTTTTCCTTCAAAAGCCGTAGCCATGGAGAACTTGCTGGCTGGTTCCACTCTTCCTGTTGCTTTTGCTGGCACAGAGATACACTGCCAAGCAGCACTCTATCAAGACTGTCACTGAACTTCACAAGGCAGTGACAACTGCATAGATGCTACTGATAGTAACTCAGTGACACTTGTAACAAGTTTTATGTGCCACTAATCAGTACATTATTCTTCCACAAATAACTGTGTAAACATGGAGGGATAACTGTTATAAAGAAGTGACACAATTAAATGAATTATGCATTCAAAAGACTGAAGGTAAATTAAACAATACTGAGCTCAGTATTTACAGCAAAATGTGAAGCTACTGTATGGCTAAGCTTTTAGAATTTAAATACCACATTTCAACATTTAATATGAAAATACTGGAAATTAGATTAATGTTTACCAAGACAACAGCAGCTGCAGGTCCAACGAAAGCATAAAGCAGCCCTCCTTCAAGAGACAGCCAACAGCTAGAAAGAACATTAGAGAAGAACTAACACAAATTAAAAATAAGTATAACACATTGCCAAGAAAAGATGAATAATTACTACAGCATGAAATTCTTCTGGTGCATGTTCAATCCTACATATAGAGATTCATATGCATACACAAAAAATAATTACTTGATTGATACAATGATGTAGAGAGTCGAGAGTTATTTCCATTCCCAATTGTTAATGTTTCAAAAGCTTTAATGTAAATTATACATATACTGAAATGCCTAAAACGTATTAAGAGCATAATAGAAAAGAAGTTTGCAAATCGTCATTGAATCTCCTCTGACTATGTATGACAAGTTAACTGAACAGGACCTGCCAGGTAGGCACCTAGAACCATTTCCAGCTTACAATGTCTGACAGTTCTATACTTAAAGCAATGAAAGGTCAAGTACCTGTAACATAGCACTTGAGAAAAAACAGGTTTCTACATATCTTCTCTTACATCATTTAGTAATTGCTATTAGAATTAGATCTTACAGACAATATTCCCATTAAAGAAAAATCATAAGTGATCTAACTGTTCTGTATTCTCTGGAATATTTTGCAAACAATTTAAATGTATATTTTAAAGCATCTGGAAACTGTATTTTCTGGTGAGCTACTAATCTTGCAGAGTTTGCTATACTGCATGAGGGCTTTCACTGAAAACCATCAGATTTCCAAACACAGAGCGCTTACAGAATCAAATTCTAAATATCTGATACGCCATGATATAAAGCCTTCCATATCTGCAAAAGATCAGGAGCTTTACACACTGAAGTAAATGCAGCTGTGCTATTTTCCCAGTGATTACACATTCAAAGAACTGCATGTTTATTTGAATGCATGATCACACCTACATATAAGAAAACTCAAGTATATGCATTCAAATAATTTACTTGGATCTCATATCCAGAAACATTCACATCAGAGTCATACATATCTTCTTTATTCTCCAATTTGTTTTTGTACTTTGGAAACCAAGTAAATTAAATGCAAGTACATCATAATATTAACGGTCTGTTACGACTGGAATTCTAACTGTAAAGAATAAAAGTGCTTCCCGTTGCAATGAAGCCATGTGAAATCTGCCACATGAACCCAACTGCATCAGTGTGCTAAATTCTGGAATGAAAAATTGATGCAAATAGTTCATACCTGCTTCCCTGTTAAAAAGGTAATACATGTCAGGGTATTCTATATCCTACCTCAAAAAACAACTACAACGATAATGCTGGTTTGTTTTTTTTTTTTATGTAATGTCAAAGAAAAATACTTTCAAGACTTTCTGTAGTTTTTCTTGCTATTTTTCCAAAAGCTAAGATATTTATTGTGAGAGACTGAGAACATGGGCTTCTAAGAGGGAGGAATGCATTCGCAGTGCATTTCCCTACCAGTATGAACTTCTAAACTTAGTGAAGATGACCACTCTGCATAACTAAGACATGTAATTAAAATTTTCATGTTTATTGAGAGACAGAAACATCATTTCATAGAAATTGTTGATGTATTGTATTTGAAACATAATTTCAGTTACCTGTGCTGAAAAAAAGGGTCAGCAAGTTTTTTTCTAAAATAAAAACAGTTTCTACCATAAAAAAATTTAAGATCGAAGAATTGTTTCCTCCCTTTCCTATGCCCTCAAGTAAAAAAAGCTCTTCAAAAGAGTGACTTCCATTTGAGAAGAGGTTGTCCTCTTTCCTTTATACATTCTGAATTGTCAATAATCTGGATTTTCAACAATGTGTGATGTGATTATTGCAGTGTATTCAATATCTGTCAGTTGATGACTCTGAAATGCACTTTTTCCCAATCGTTTTCTGTTGAAGACTTTCTGAAAGCAGGTTCTCACGTATCTTTTTATACCATAGGGAAATTGTCAATTTTTTGCTATTTTTTTCCTCTTCTTCTTCTTTTTCTTTGTCCTGATAGCTTTTTTTTTTTCCTGTGCTTTATAGTTGTTTCTATTTTGTTCTCCTGTTCTGTCTTCTTTCTCTCTGATGCCCACATAGCAGAAAGGCATATAAATTAATTAGTACTAAGAGCATCCACTAGTGGTTTTATGCAACCATGTTACATGGTCATAAAATTCTGCTGAGTGATGAAGTATCTGTAGACTTGCTCCTGTGTCCTGTACATTTTGTGAGTTGTTTGATGCTATCCAGGAGAATGGTTCCTTCTCTTAGGAGAGCATGACTATAACAGAATTTTAATTTTTACCGAATAATGAATTCCTGGAAGTTAACTGCACTGCTCACTAACATCTAGCACTGTATGTAAATGAGTAGGTCGTGCAGGTTTATTATCTATAACTTGTAGTAGTGGTGCTTTCATAGCTCTGAGTGTCTGAAGAGAGGTAACAACAATATTTATTAGATTCACAGAAACAGCTGGGAAAAAAATAAAGCTTTCAGACACAGAATTGGTTCGCGCGTGAACAATTCAAGCCACCCCCATCAATAATATATCCTATGAAACTGAGATCTGCTTCAAAGATCCTTGGGTCTTCTCCCTTTCCGTCAATCTCTTTGTGTACGGGACTACGGGACCGGACTCAATTCCTTCATCTTCACTCTTAATTTTCTCCATTTGAAACTGTCATTTTCAAAAATAGCATCTTACAAACCAGGAATAGTATGCAACAGGATGCATTTCTGATGGCAGTATGTGTGTAACTAATTGCAACCAAACAGGCTAAATATAGTGTAAGCAGTTAAAAAACTTACACAAGTGCTTTAGTTATAGGAGGAGGAGCAGGACAGGAGCTCTGCTTTTACACTGCCCAATAGTTGTTATGAGACACATAACACTCTGCTGGCTTCTGGAGTGAGACAGCACATCAGATGATGATGGAGGAGGAAGCTCCATTCTTTGCATTCCCTGTGTTCCTTAAGTAATTCTGATGTCAAATGCCAAGAAAATGTATTTGCAAAGACGATGAGAAAGCTGCATTATGGTTCTGATTGTCCCTTGTACACCTCCTTTTGTGCTTTCATCCCATGGTACCGTGTCAGCTGAATTTAGATCCTGGGAGAGGAGCTGTTAGGTGTACAGAGACCTGCTCTTCTTCACTTTCCAGGTTACCCTTAATGAATGATTTGTTGCTATGACTGAATATTTCAGTATATCCTCTTTTAAAAATGCATTCAGCCCAGGAAGGAAGCAGGAAGCAACACTAACTAAAGCGAGTAGTCACACACGAATAACTTCAGTAGAGTAAATGCAATGGGATTGATCCTACAAGGGATAGAGCTACAGCCCCAATGGGGTCTGGACATTGTAATATTGTGATTTGTAATTTTCACAGCCTAAAGGGTTCTCCAGTCCTGATTCAAGGACTAAATAATAAAAAAGCCAGCAAGATGAGCACATATTAGTTAGAAAAAATGCAAGAGGAGAAGGTCCTCAATATAACTTCCAAAAGACGTCTAAGACTGCTTTTCACTAATGATTGCCAGCTGTAAGTGCTGTCCCACAGTTAAGCACTTCAGTTAAGTCATTTCTCATTAAAAAAGAAATGCAAGATGCCCGTTGTCAGAATTTAAAACTAAAGAGCTCAGTGTTTAGAGCCGACACTCAGGAGAGGATTTGTTTTTCAATCTTTACCCACCCAGAGCTGGAGTGAGGGCTTGAAGCCTCCTCCACCATGTGCCAAGAGGGAGGGGGAATCCTGATCTCACTCAGTGATGATGCAAAGGAGAATAATTAAATATTCATTGAAGCGAGGACTTGACCTAACTCATCCTCATCTCTGATGAATGCCCTCATTACCAGGCAATGGAGTCATATTTCCTCTCTTTCTGTCCAGATGCATACTTAATTTCTTAGGCAACGTGAGGAGAGCTCCAAACAGGACGACTGAAGGAAAAGCACTCCCGCATGCATAACGTCTTGGAGGTTGGAACAGTCTGCTGGCAGGAGGGAGGCTCAGCCCAAGCTCCTTCTTC